TAGTCATCATTTAAAGTTTTTTTTCTAACCATTTATCAAGTCTGTGAACATTGGTTATTCACCTAAATAAGAATCTTAAAGTGAAATACATGGGCATTTTGCTGATAACTCAGAAGATTTAGTCATTTTTATTGAAACAACAATATTAAGTTAGTCTTATTTGTTTAAAAAAAAAAGTCACACAAACAAAGATTGTTTTGTTTTTGGCTCGCTGATAGTCTCACAATCTTTGTGCCAAACTCTGACACCTTAAAATAACTAGCAGAGGCAAACATAAAACATTATCTAGACAAAAATGTATGCTGATGATTCTGAAGACATTTTTAGTTTTATCTTATTAAGTTTTTTTTTTGAGACAGGATCTCAGTCTTGCCCAGGCTGGAGGGCAGTGGAATGATCATAGCTCATGACACCCTCAACCTCCTGGGCTCAGGTGGTCCTTCTACCTTAGCCTCCCAAGTTCCTGGGACCATAGACACACACCACCATGCCCAGCTAATTTTTCTATTTTTTGTAGATACAGAGTTTTGCCATGTTGTTCAGGCTGGTCTCTTAATCCTAGGTTCAAGTGATCTGCCCACTTTCACCTCCCATAGTGTTGAGATTACAGGTGTGAGCCACCTTCCCTGGCTTTTTATTGTACTAATAATTTTTAAACAAGTTTTATTTACCAAAGATTCATTTGAACTTGAAAAGCATTTGGACTTATTTTATGAATACTCATTTATTCATAAGCCAGTTTGGTAGTATGTTAGACACAACAAATAGCAAAATACATGTACATATACATAAACATATCTAAACAGGTATATGTATATGTGTGTATGTATACACAAATACACACGCACACACACACAAAGATCCAGTAGTTTTTATCTCAGGACTCTAGCCATGAGAGAATATCAAAAACTCAGTGGTCTATAAAAGATAACTGGATCCATCTTATTTTTGAGAAAATTGAGACCTGTCCACATGGCTAAACTTTGTTTGCCCTGGTAAGTAATCCTGTAATAGCTCTGGACCAAAATTTTGGATAAAGCCGTTTTCATTTTTAAAAACATGTTTTATCCTTTTGCTTTCAGTTTTAAATGAGTTTCCAATGTTTACGTTTTAGCTGAGACTGGATGAACTATATAAGAAAAATAAAATGTCCAAATAACCTTGAAATCATATGTTTTATATCAACACCAGTAGCTTAATAACAGCAGATTCAAAACAGGCAGAAAAGAAAAATAAATAGAGAGCTTTAGAAGGTTCTACTTAACTCTAAAGTTGCAGGTTAAGTATTTGAGCTCTGATTCTTTTTTCCTGTAATTTGTCCATCGGTTTTAAAATTTTCACACAAGCAAGCTACAGTGTGTAACCAGCTAGAGTCTCAGGTAGACTAGAAAATAATTCACATGTTTTTTTTTTCCCCGCACAAAGCTTGACACAGATACAGTAAATACTCCTGAGTGCCTGCAAAAAATCAGGGGCCAGGATTTTGGAAAGAGTTTGTCCCCTAGTGAGGAGAAGCCTGTTTTGTTGCATTCTGACAATCAGATGGACCTGGTCTTGGCTGGTGCAATTGAGACCATTCCAAAGCACCCTCAGAAGTAGGGGTGAGACTAAACAGACACAAACGTGAATGGATCTGACACAGATGGAGCACCCCAAACTGATCCCTGAAAGATGATACTGGAGAAATATCATGAGACCTTGTCTCAAACGCAGACAGCACCACAGTTTAATTGTCCTGCATTAAGTCCAGATGTCACAGAGGCCAACACAGCAGCACAGATGACCTACACTACGGCAAACAGCTAGAGAAACCAGATGGCAGAGACAGAGGATTTTCAGGTGCATTCCAGTTGACTTACCCAGTTCTTGGAGCCTGTTGACTTCCCAGGTGTTGCTTTCCTTACACCAACAGAGAATGATAGCAAAAGCTGATGCCATGAAAAGGAGGGAAGGGAAATTCCCTGAGACAAAGGCAGTCTTGGTAACTGCTGGCTAGGTTTGGGGACAACTAGCCATGAGCTGCTGGCATTTGCAAGTGCCCCCTGCCCTGACTGGTAGCATTAACAAATAATCCCTGGCACACTGCTGCAGGCAATTCCTCCACTCATTGGAAACCAGGCATACAGGTTGAGTCACTTGAAACACACAGTTTTTCACAAAGGGCACCAAATTAGTGACTGACTCAAGTTTGGCTGCTCACTGCCCAGAGGCCAGAACACAAGAAACAAGATGTGGTGAAAGTAAAGTAACTGTATTCAAATGCTAGAAGTTGGGGAATGGCCAGGCTTATGCCCTTAAAAGACAATTTTTTGCTTTGGGGGTTAATTGAGAGAGTTTAAGAGGGAAAACATGGTAGGCGAAACATGTCCAGGAGGATGCAGGTCTGCAAGTCTCTTCCAATGGCTATCTTGAATATTTGCCCTTCTGCAGGTCTGGTTGATATCATTGACATCATCTTGACTTTGGCCTGATAATGGTAGACTAATCGTTCATAACTCCACTTAAGCAGGAGAATTCTGCAGCTGGATCTCTATGCCTGGTTTGTTTCAAAAGTAGCCCCTGGGATTTTTAAGCAAGTGCATAATTAGATAAGTGAGCACTGTGCATCAGGATGCCTGGTGGGAAAGGAGGGAAACTAAATTTTACAGTGTATTTTATGGCTCACAGAAATAAAGGAAAAAAAGTTTCAAAATGCATTTTGAAGCTAAGCTACTCGATTACACTATCATAGAGTACCTTAAAATCCTGAATTTAGGATAGCAGAATAAACGTGAGCCCTTCCAACCAAGAAGGTTAACAAGTTCTGATCACAGAATAATTTACCAGACCTGTTTATTCCTAAGAACTAGAAACGAGTGGCCCAGACCCTTGAGCACGGAATATATTGAATGGATTAGGATGTCTGAAGATTTATCCTGCCCCAGGTACAGGTATAGGCAGTAGAAGTGTGAAAATGCCATTGTAGAGACCTCTGCCTTAACATTTGTTGTATTTTACAAACTTAATTTCTACTTTTCACTTGTCAGCAGGAGGCTATCAAGACTAACACTGCAAACTTTAGGTATCTAATACTTATTAATGTATAGATTATCAACTTTGGTAATCACTGAAGTATGGGGGCATTTCAGAAGCATTCCATCACAGTCAGTCAAGCCAGAAGAAACTATGTTTATAATTTATGATCTGCAGAGTCAATTTACGCCTTTAAGGCAGTTTTAGGTAAATTTTTCTCTAACTTTTTTTATTGACTTTTCAAGATGCTACTTGTATAGATGAGTAAAAGTAATTGGTGATGTTAACTTCCTTAAAAACTTGATTCTGTAATCAAAACCATTTTCATGTTAATTTGGTATGTTAAATATATATACTTGATATGAATTATAGCTCAATTTTTAAAAGTTACAATTGGCATTTCCCTATTAGTTTTACTTTATTATTATTTATTGGTACCTGATTTAGATGTGTACTAATTAAATAATGACCATCAAAATAATTTTTTAATCTAACAGGATATTAACTTGAACTAGATTTTAAAAAGCTATCACAATCTCAAACAAAAATTTAACACTAACAAAATAGACAATAATAATTAAATGGGAGAAAAGCTAATAGGCTAATATTAGTCATCCAAGATGAAGATATTTTCCCTGCTATCAGTTGTTAACTAAGTTTTCAGGTTTAGCTTCAGTGGTTAATTTAGATTTTAAAGCAGTGGTCCCCAACCCTGGTCCATGGACCAGTACCAATCTGTGACCTGTTTGGAACCGGGCCACACAGCTGGAGGTGAGCGGCGGGCGAGCAAGCAAAGCTTCATCTGTACTCACTGCCGTTCCACATCACTTGCATTATCAGCTGAGCTCCACTTCCTGTCAGATCAGCAGCAGCATTAGGTTCTCATAGCAGTGTGAACCTTATTGTGAACTGCGCATGCATGTGAGGAATCTAGGTTGTGCACTCCTTATGAAAACCTAATGCCTGATGATTTGTCACTGTCTCCAGTCACCCCCAGATGGGACTATCTAATTGCAGGAAAACAAGCTCAGGGCTCCCACTGATTCTACATTGTGGTGAGTTGTATAATTATTTCATTATATATTACAATGGAATAATAGTAGAAATGAAGCGCACAATAAATGTAATGTGCTTGAATCATCCACAAACCATCCCTGACTCCTTGGTTCATGAAAAAATTGTCTTCAAACAGGTTGAATCAGGTTGGCCTATTTCCAGCACCAACCGATTTATGCCTAGTGTTCCATTATTGGAACGTTAAGCAGGTAGGAGTTATTTATATCCTACTGCTCAAGGTCATCGCCAAGGTCTGATTGCAAAAATTCAAAAAATTGCAACCTCAGGCATAAATGGATTAAAACTGTTTCATTAAATTACTTTTTTATTATTTTTCTTAAGGAGTAATATATACCTATATATATATTTTTTTCAGACTCCGGTAGTTGTGAAAAATGAAATAATGTTTGACTTATTTTCAGCAAATGAACATTTACTCTGCAGTGAGGTATGTACAGAAATATGAACTAAAGTCTCATCATTAATTGCCTTCCAGTCCTACTTAAACCATTCCCAGACAGTCGATTTCAACTCTCCCTTGTTCACCTTCAAGTTTTGGTATTACATATACATATATAACATTGAAAAATATATATGGGGGTTGGTGTTTGAGACAAAGTCTTGCTCTGTTGCTCAGGCTAGAGTGCAGTGGTGTGAACACAGCTCAGTGCAGTCTCAACCTCCTGGGCTAAAAATGATCCTCCCACCTCAGATTCCTGGTAGCTGGGACTACAGGGATGTGCCATCACCCCCAGCTAATTTTAAAATTTTTGGTAGAGATGAGATCGCACCACATTTTCCAGGCTGGTCTCGAACTCCTGGGCTCAAGCAGTCCTCCCACACGGCCTCCCAAAGTGCTGGGATTACAAGCATCAGCCCCTGTTTCTGGCCAAAGATTGTATATATTTAAGGTATACAACTTGATGATTTGATATACATTGTTAAATATTTATCACAATTAAGCTAATCAACATAAACATCAACTCAGTTATTGTGTGTGTCAGTTAATATTGTGTATTATTGTGTGTGTTATTGTGTATGTATATATGTGTGTTGAGAACACTGAAGATCTATTCTCTGAGCAAATTTCAGGTATACAATACAATATTGTTAACTACAGCTGCATTGTTGCAAGTAGATCTCCATAACTTATCTTTCAGAACTAAAACTTTGTACCCCTTACCAACATCTTCCCCATATCCCCCTCCTTCCAGACCCTGGTACCCACCATTTCTCTGTCCGTTTCTCAGACTTCTGTATTTTTAGATTCCACATATATGTGAAATCATGCAGTTGTTTGTCTTTGTTTGGCTTATTTCACTTAAGGTAACAGTATTTTACACACCAACATTCAAAAGGAAAATGAAGTCTCTTTACCTGAGTTTAGTGAGCCTCTATTCTCCTGCCCCCGGTCTCAGAGTAGCTGTACTCTCTCCCTCTGGGCTTTTCCCCTTGGGATCCATATGACCAGCATTGGACATGAAGTGGCTGCCCATCTTGTCCTGTGCCACATCAAGAGGGCGGGTATAGTGATGTTGTATGATGTGATAGTGCAAGGGAAATTGGGGTGTACTTGGATTGCAATACAACTGTCCTACTTCTGGTGGGAACTCATCCCCCCACCTCCTACTCCCCACCTCCCCACCCCATGTTGGGTCGGGTTTTATCCATACAAGCAGGCCTGTTCCACTCCTCTACGTTAATTAAATCAGAAACAAGAACTTTTAAAACTTATTTTCTCCTAAGACTCAGAGGAGTGAGGCATAGTCAATATTGCTTGAAATACTTTTTCTTATCTTCAATATCTTGACCAATATTAAAATCAAAATGTTATATTTCTTCAACCAGTTATACATATTAGTATAAAATTATCTCTAATATGTTTTATGTTTTAGTACAAAATACACCTATTTTTTGAATCCTAAACCCACTTAGACTTTAGCTTTTCATTTTTCAAGGGAAGGAAAGTATAAAATATTCTACAATAAAATTTCCAGATATACAGGAGGATACCTGCTTTGTCTTTTTCTACTTTACCAAACATTAAGAATTTTCTAGATAACTCAAATTAAGAGAAACATAAATCATATAAGGCCAATATTAAATATTTAATTTCCTTATAAACCAGGCAGTTAAACATGAGATGAATATTTCAGAAAATCAGATACTACTGAGGTAACAATGGCTTTATTGAACAGCCACTGTGACCTAGAGATTTCTTACATACTGCTTCTAGTCCTCACAAAAAAATGCTGAAAAATAGCTACTATTATCTACGTTCTACAGATGAGGAACTGCAACTTACGAGGTGGAAGCAACTTTCTCAAAAGCAGAAGGCTGTGAAGATCTGAAAGAGGATTCAAATTTTGGTCTTTGTTTCCACTCTGAAGTCCATCGACCCACTGGGCCTTGCTGCCTGTTAAAAACACTGCAAGGGGACGTTTTACTTAGAGCATTTCAACAGTTACAGATCAACCCATGACATATGGAATTTACAGTATATTTACATGTCTACCCCATTTTAATTCTTTCAGATCTCATTCCTTCTCTAATTGGTCCTATTGACATACAAGAGATAATATCCTTCTCAAATATCTCAACATTTACCAAAGAGTAGCTCACTCATTTGTCACAATTATCAGAAGATTTCTCTCTCTCACACGCGCACACACACCACTGATATGAATGTCAGTGTCAAATAGAAGTCGATGCCAAATCACCCACAGTTTACTTCAGCAGACAGCTTTCTTAGCTACGAGTATGTTTAGTATGAGACATTTTAGTTTGTATTGTGACTGTATTTCCCGAAAACAAAAGCAAGACCTACAATTTTATTCTGTAGATCAGAAATGAAAGTATGGAATACATAATATGTATAATTTGATATTATTCTTGGAAGTGGATTTCTTTTTACTGTATTTCTTCCTAAATTACAGTACCTACAACTGAAAAATAACCAATTAACACTAATGTTTTTTGTCTCTAGCTGATGAGGTGGATTATCAGTGAAATCTATGCAGTGTGGAAGATCTTCAATGGAGGAATTTTGAGCAACTATTTTAAGGGGACCTCAGGGGAACCTCCTCTTCTCCCCTGGAAGCCCTGGGAACACATATACTCTCTGTGCAAGGCTGTGAAGGGTCATATGCCTTTGTTCAATAGCTATGGAAAGTATGTTGTGAAACTTTACTGGATGGTAAGTTCATTTTCATGTGCTTGAAATCTCATGAGTCTTTCATATTGAAATATACTTGGCCTGGTGTGGTGGCTCATGCCTGTAATCACAGCACTTTGGGAGGCCAAGGCTGGTGGATCACCTGAGATCAGGAGTTCGCAACCAGCCTGGGCAACATGGTGAAATGCTGTCGCTACTAAAAAGACAAAAAATTAGCTGGGTATGGTGGTGGGTGCCTGTAATCCCATCTACTCTGGAGGCCGAGGTGGGAGAATTGCTTGAACCTGGGAGGCAGTTTGAGTGAGCTAAGGTCACGCCATTACACTCCAGCCTGGGCAGCAAGAGGGAAACTCCAAAAAAAAAAAAAAAAAAAAAGAGAGAGAGAAGGAAGGAAGGAACGAAGGAACGAAGGAAGGAAGGTTGCCTTGCACACCGTTACTTAGGCTAGTACAAGATAATGCAGTTTTTATAGGATATCAATTGTGTAGCTACAGAGAGAAACTGTCCTGAATGTGTAATTTGTGATTAATGAGAAACACAGTTGCTTCTCCTGTGATGCTAGTCCTATGGGCATTTTAAACGGGTTCTGCCTAGACCACTGAGGTATGGCCACTCATTGTAGATGCTGATCTTGCCGCTGCCTCTGCACTCTCATGCTGAGGCAAGCGGGGCAGGCAGTTGGATGCACCGGGCTTCCCCCTTCCTCTTTCTTCTCTGATGTGGTGTCAGGGTCATGGGCAGGAGGAAGTGCTAGCCTGTGGTCCAGTCCCTCTTCTGGCTTTTGCTGTAGCTGAGGGGCCTGATCCCATCAGCAATTTGTCCTGAACTTGAGATTTGTTTTCATGCGAACAGATCTTACTCTGAGACAGGAAGATGTTACCTCTGCCTAAAAGGAAAGCAAATGGAATAGTAGGAAATATGAACAGGATCCAAAACCCGTTATAAATATGGCAAAGCAGACTCACACTAAATTAGCAATGCTAGATCATATCAAATGCCTTTGGGTTTTTCTTGGCCCTTGTCACTGGAAAAGAATGTTCTCCTTGAACATTTAAAGGAATGGGAAAGTACTAAAAGTTAATAATTCCATTATATATTTATGAAAATGTGACTTTTTCTTTCATAGGCCTGAGCCATCTGTCTTCCTGGGATGGGGAATGTTGAAGGGCCAATAATGAGGAATTACTATTATAATTACAATGGGAAGGGAAAAGGGAAAAAGGTAATACAGCTTCTAATATCCAAAACTGGATTTTTGTTTTTTGAACATTCACAGCAAGAAAATTGGCCTTGAAATTTTGTTAGGAGAGAAAATAACTTTCTAAGTTACTTTATCTTATTTATTTACCAATCGAGAGCACTATTTTCTAGACTAGACTTCAGAGTTTTAAATCTGTGCAGAGGAGCAAGCAGAAGGCTGTGGTACTAAAAAGGTGAAAAACCTAGTGGATAGTGTTGAGGGAGTATAGAAAGAAGTATGCAGAGGAACAGTGAGGAGGTAAAATGCCTGGGTTCCTGTCCTACATTTGTCTAAACTTGAGGTGGGAGGAAGGTCAAAACTATGAAGTATTTTAAAACATTGAACCAACCTTGTTGATTTATTTCTCATTTTCTCTTTCTGCTTCCTGACATCCCTCCTTGGTTTTCAGATTTTCTCCTGCATAGGAGTTAATATTCATTAACATCACCTTCCATTTTGCAAAGAAAATATGACTTATTTCTCCTTAATCATACTGATTCTTCACAAGCCCAACTCCACTTGGTTCAGAAATTTCTTTAAAAATGTATTGAGGCCACTTTGGAAACCTCAGTCTGTTCCAGTCATTTAGCCCATCTCTAGATATTTAGCCCTTTAGGGAACAGTGTGGTAGAAATTGGACCTCAACTCCACTGGCTCCTTCTGTTTCCTCAGTGGTCTCATCAGAGGAATGCCTGTAGAGGATGCTGTGAGCACTGACATACTTGTTCCCTATGAATTATTTTGGTAGGCATGTGATAGAGAGGTGGCTGCCTGGTTTTCTGATTAGTAGAATCTGTTCTCTCTAGTCTAGGGGCAGAAATTTTTATTTCTTTCTATCTGATCCCCAGCTGGTAGGGCTGAGTCAGTATCTGCATACATATTAACATTAGTAAGAAGTTAGAGTCAATTCTTACATGAAAATACTATGTTGTTGTTGTTTTTATTATTTTCTTCCCTTTCCAGACACACACAATTTGATTTTGATTTTTTTCTCTTCCAATTCTAGTTCAGCATTTGTACATGTCTGTCATTTGCTTCTCTCTGTGAATATTTGGGAAACATGTTTATAAAATATGCGTTATTACTTCTACTTCATGATTTGGTACAATACACTCCTGATTCATCTTATACCCTACATTTATTTTCTTTCCCATTTCCTATCTTGTGAGACACGATGAGTCTTCTTCTCACTGTTTTTCTTCGTTAGCTTCTTGAGGCATTCTTGCCTTTTTCTTATTGGAAATTGCTTTTCCTTCTCTGCCTTATTATAAATATTCTTCTCCCTCTTTCACTTTGTCCTGTAAAGCATTTACCTTTATCACTTCTTTGAGGAAAACCAACCTCTCAGACTCTCTCTGCATGACATTAAAAATTCTGATTTTCACACCAGCTTATCAATTTTCCTATGAAAGTATTTTCATTATTTCCAATTTGGATTCAAAGTAAATTGCATCAAGGGTCTTTGACCTCAGCCAGGTAAAAACGTATTGGGTAGCATTAAGAACAAGGTTATGACACAGAGCAGCTCTCTCCTCTCCTTCACCTGGGAATGATGATACTAATGCTGGGACACAGATCGTCTCGTCAAGTGCCTTCCAATGGCAGCTTTCCTTTGGGCCCCTGAAAGAAGCAGGTTAGCTGTTGCTCTCCACTTGAAATATGTGTTGCTATTGGCAGCTTTTCTCTGAGTGTCTCTGTGCTTTCATTTGTCTCTGATAAACAGAGAAAACACACACATTAGGACCAATAATTTTTCCCAGTTGCCATCAATATATTTACATAAAATATGCATTTGCTTTATCTCTGATTGAGCCTTATACTGCTTAACCATAATGTTATTGCAGAATTCAGAGTTTCCTAACTATGGGGTGCAGAAACCCCCCAACATCAAACTAGCTGTTGTACTTCTTAAACATCTGCTTCCCGTGCCTCGCTCCAGACCTCATGAGTTTATAAAATATGCATTATTACTTCTCCAGGGTAGAACCTGCAATCCTGCATTATAAGTAAACTCTCTCATCCAGTGACATTTTTGTTCATTAAATTTGAGGAACAATGTTTTCAAGATATAAACTATGAGAAATTATTTTTCTATCATTCGGTTACTTTGTTCCAAAATGAAAACGCTTTATATCACTATTTATAATATTATATATGCTTTTAATAAAGGAAATTCAAATACTATTAAAATGTTAAAAGTATGCAATGAAAGCTCCCTGTAAGTTTACCCTATTTAATCACAGCAAATGATTTATGTATATCCTCCTAAGCTTTCTTCTATTGTTATAAACATACATACAACTATTGTATATAATTCATAACAATAAGGTCATAGAAATGTATTATTCTGTAAACTATTATTTTCCCTATACATAGGCATTTTCTATGCTAATATATATTGATCTACTTTGTACTCCATTATATGAGATATGTAAATATAATATATATTGCTCTTTTCATATTGGTAAACATTTAGGTTTGGACCAGTGTTTTACCAAAACAAACAATGCTGTAAAATTTCATCTTTATGTATATAGTCTTTGACCATTTGTAAGGACTTTTTTTTTTTTTAAGGATTTCTACCATATGGAATTATTTCATCAAAATATTTGCAAATTCTTAATTTTTGATAAGTATATTCAAGTTACTCCTGTATTTTAATTTGTCTGTAACGAACATCCATATTTGATGTAATTAGAATTAAAGTCTGTGATTCTATTATTTGTTTATTCTTTGTTACCTTTCTTATTTTTTTTTGTGTTACTTTATATTTATTGCATCCTTAATCCAATTTCCTTTAATCCTGCATGTTTCTTGGGCATTCCTTAGGATTCCATTTTGACTGACCTATAGTGCTTTCAAGCAAATCTCTTTGCTCTATGAATTAAAATATATATGCATAGCTTATCACAGTCAACTAGTATCAGCATTTTACCACTTAAATTGGAATATAAATACTTTACCACCAGTTAGTCCCCTTTATATTCCTCCTTTTCTAATATAACTTTCTTTT